GACCTTCAGACTAGGCATCCTCCATCCTTGGTGGGCATTGCCGAGCACCTTGCACGTTGGCGAAGATACATTGGGTGTGCAACCACCGTAACTTGATGAATGAATGAAGAATAACAGCCAAGCTTGTTCAGCATTATCGACCCACGTGCCACTGGTGTGGAACCAGTGGCTCTCAGTCGGGCAACCGGCCTGTTGTGGAACTATGCCTATCCCCACAGGAGCTCGACGGGTGGGCATCAGCATGGATGGCCGACATCCGTGAAGAAGCTTGGGGTGATGGACTGCTCTGCGTTTTGCTTTGCATAGGCGGATGGCCTGGATGGCACAAGGTGGTGCAATCTGCGCTTTCCTCCCTGAGCTTGAATCTAGAAGCTAGACAACATGGAGCTGGCCAAATTGCACCAATAAATCATTCGGCCTCCGAGAGGGCAGAGTGTCACAAAGAGCGGCGCAGAACGAAGCCACCGCACTCATGCTGCCCTTGGGGCTTTCTGTCGTCTTGCCCTCATTGACTCATGCCCCATGCCCGCAGCCAAGTGGCTCATCGGTCAGACGCTGCCATGCCCTGAAACGCTTCCTCCCCTTGTCCCCACATCGGGGGAAGGGTAGAGAAGGTCTTCGAGGCACCGCTTGCTTGCAAGGATTTCCCGCTGAACAGAAGACTCACGAGTGGCCGCTGGGGCTTCCTGCGAGGGCGAGGCGTCCCAACGAACCCGAGGCATCAGCGAGGTGCCGGGCCCTTGGCCGTGCGCCCACGCCCGTCCGCTTCCTCGGTTCGCATGACTTGATCTCGCATGAAAGAAAGGCCCAATGCAGCAGACTCCATGGCGCCAGCGCGGAGTCAACCGGAGGTTTCATCCCGAGCCGACAACTCCGTGACTGCAAAAGCCTGCCGCCTGCAGGAGCTACTCAGCTGGTCTCCTTCTCCTACTTGCGACTCAAGGCCGGCGATGTTGAGAGCGCACAAGAGGATCTGGTGAACGGGGCTTTCTGCAGGTGCCCAGGGTGCCAAGGTCGCCCTGCAGTCCAAGCTTAGGCCAGCAGCCTGGAGGCTTCGACGTAGATGAGCCTCTGAGCCTTCCTGGCGAGGTATGCCATGGAGACGGACAGCGCTCAGATGTCTGCCAGCGCCGCTTGGAATAAACGAGCTCGCGGCCTTGGCATTCAATGAGCACGAGCATGGCAGTGTTCTGGTTCAGGCTGTGTTTGCAAACCTGTCCTCCCTGGCCTTGTCAAGTTCTTTGAGCATCGGCCAGAATGCCACTCAGGACAGACAACACATCCTTTAGCCAGTCCAGTGTAGCCCGTGGTTTCAGGCCAGCGATTCCCTCAACAAGATGGAGTCCTTGCTCCTGAGCCTAGGGCGCCAGCCGACAACGGACAGCAACATGGTGGAGGCTGCAGACCCATGACAATGCTGCTGGTGCTGTTGGAGTTGGCCTGCGCTTTGCCTGCGCAGACTGCAACCATGATCGGCAGAATTCTCGAAGACAGCATGAAGGCAGAGCTTCGAGATTAATTTTAGTTGAGACCAAAGCTGGCCCCGCCCCTGTCGCAAGTCACCAGGCAACCATACGAACGCAGCTGGCGCTGCAGCAGAAGAGCCTGGAAACTGCCGTGGGGACAATCAACGCATGCGCTTCACATCTCAAGTACGATGAAGCCAAAGTGCTTCGAGCTCCTCGGCTGGAGATCTTCCGACTCTCTTTCCGAGCCCATCGTGCCCATCCGATCGCTCGCCAGTGCGCAGGAGCAGCTTCCTGCCCTTGCCGCGGCACACCAGCAGTGCCGAAAGGAGGAGGGCGTCAGGGCCCAGCTCGTCGAGGAATGCGAGCAATCGCTTGCAGATCACAAGGCATCACATGCCACAGCCACTCGTCAGAAGCTCCCTTCGGGCGCCCTTGCCCGGGCTTTGGGCTTTTCGCGGCGGGAAGAGGGGAAGTTCGGGGCTTGTCTGAAAGATGAGGCTCGCGTTGACTGCGATGCAGTCCTTGATTATCCAACTGGAGGCCGGGCCCGACAGCCTTGAGAGGCGCTGCCCCACCCTCGCCCCTCCTTTCGGTTCCCCTTATCATCCCTTATCGCAATGAACGAAAAGTGCAGTAGACTTCGAGCCTGAGCAGAACCGTCTTGACGCTCCATTCATCTCCATTCGGTCAGTGCAGCATCTTTGGCATGTCATGTGCAGGCTGTGCAGGTTGCTGTTCCCTGAGTCCCTGAGGTCGTGGGCTTTGCAACAACCGGGTAGGCAGCGTTGCCGACCACTACCGCAACCTCCACACATTCTGGGACCGAGCTTGTGTCACTTCAGAAGCGACGTTCCTCGAGAGTCCCTGGTAGATGGTCCTGGAGAGTCTGTCCTTCAGGATGAATACCTCAAGTGGTATGAGTCTTTGGCAGCAAAGGACCCCTTGCATACTGCTGTTGCCCGTGTCCCACAGCTTTTGTTGCTTCGAATCGAGCTAAGGATGGTAACATGACTATCTGCAATGCCCTTCAGGTAGGTTTTGCATTGCTGTTTTGAGTTGATATCTAGCAGCCTTATCTTCTGCTGTTCATGGTGCAGGCAAAGGTGGAGAGCACCACCGCCAACTGCTCCAATCTATCCGTGGCTCATGATGCGCAGCGCCGGACATGCAACGCCCAGCAAGCCCTTTGTTTGCAAAACTGTCGCTACGAAGGATTGTCGAGTCTAGGCTTGAGAGATGGCAATTCGATCATGACCTCCAAGCCACAACCTGAAATTTCAGGCACAGCTGGATACCACATCTTGTGGTTTTGTGACCAATGCAGAGAACGGTTGCCGGCTTGGTTGCAGGGCTTGTCAGAGCGGCTCAGTCAATGCAAGACAGGCGACATCTGGGAACGTTTCGTAGCCTTGCAAGGCTGTGCAGCCTACTCACGGTGTTACGACCAGACACTGGCGAGTTTCATCACCCTGAATTCGACCGTCGCCGAGGAGGATGCAACGGCTGTGAAGGCTGCGAGGGGCTTGAGGGGTCCTGGCTTGAGCCCCTGCAGGAGCGAACTTTGCGGCAGGAATGGCGCGCCGTGCTTCGCATCGAGTGCTCTCGGCAGAAAGTCACAAGTAGATACCTTGCAATACACTGAAATGTCCCGACGAGCCGAAACCAGGTGTCTCCTCAAAGCCCTCTTGAGTGACAACAAGAATGCAGCCATCGACCGCTGCATAGGCCGGGAGCTCCGAGTGTCTGTCTGGTTTTGGCGGCGGGCTTTCAGGCCGAGCTTGCTCCTAAGCTCTGAGACAGGCCGCGTGCACAGCCTCGATGAGATCAGCGTCGATTACTCGGCAGTTCCCAGGCCACTGAATGCTGCTCAGATTGCATTCAATCTTCAAGTTCATCCAGGACCTAGGACTTGCATGTTGAGTCGCTGCATCCTGAATGTCTCAAGGAGACGTATCCGCACGATACGATATGCAAGAACTTGACTGAGTACGTCCCTGTCACTGAAGCTTATGCCAAGCGATGGTACGAAGCCACGAGCTCGGGGCTGGGGCTGTCAAGGCTGAGCTGCAACGGCAGCAGAGTTCGCACTGTTCTGACCAAGGGGCTGCCATCCTCGGCTCAGGCGACTTGTGACTGACGGCTGACCCAAAGCATCCCGGTCACATGGCAAGTCCGGTTTGCAGGAGGAGTCACGCATCGTGCGCTTTTGCCCTTCGAAGAGCGGCGGCTATCACCACCAGGCAGTTGCGCAAGGCAAGAGATGTTTCTGGACTCCCCACTCCGGTGGAGGCCCAGGCGATGAAAGCTGCCTGTGAAGGGAAGGTCCTCGTGCCGACCAGATCTCAGGCGCACGCGCGCGCGCGCTGCGGAGCGGCAGCACCTACAAGTAGCGGCAGATGGAGACACCCTTATGGTGCTGCAGCAGCAGTGCTCTCTCTTTTTTTTGGGGGGGGGGGGTCGGAGAGGTGAGCTTCAGCAGCAAAAGCGTGGCTGAGCCGGGCCCTGGCGGCCCTGGCGGCCCTGGCCTTGATGCAGAGACGTCCTGGGCCCCTGCAGAGGCCCCCCGAAGCTAAGAGGGGCGCATCCACGCTTCCTTCCGCTTCCTTCCGCTTCCTTCCGCCCCCTGGTGACGCGAGGCCCGTGCGGGGGAGTTTCTCACAGTGGACCTCGGCGAGGAGGCAGTGAGTTGTCACGTTGGAGAGACGGCGTATTAGGTTTGCCTTCCTGACGCAGCAGGTGCGGGTGGGTGGCACCTATGTTCAAGGAGGCTCTCTGGAACACAGGCAGGAGATGTCGGGAGCAGACTGCTATGCTGAGGGAATGCGCCGGGAGCGTCTTGGAGGTGCTTGGACAGCTGGGTGACAACTTACATGATCCAGTACAGCGTGAATGGCTCCTACTCCAGCCTGTCAGCCCTCTGAGACCAGATGTCCGGTGTCTGCTACTGGTCGCAGCTTTCCGTGCTTTTGCGCCTGACTGAGGCCTGAGGCACTGCGAGGTAGCCATGACTGCTCGGCCAAGGCGTTAGGGTGAAAAAGGTCATGGCCTTTTATAGGACCCTTGCTGTCAGGTTGGCACGCGCTTCGATGTGCCACTGCAAGCGCGCTTCCTGCGATTCGTCATGGAGTCTTGGCACGGACACGGCTCAATGCGAGTGGGCCGCGGGCTCTGTGTTGGAGCGTTACAACATCGTCGCAAAGTGCAGCACCGGTCTTTCAGGTGTTCTCGTCTGTGAATGAGATGCGGCTACGAGAAGCCGGGCTTGACTGTCTCCTTCACAGGCTAGTCCGCCATTCTGACATAGGCCACCGCCAAGCCGCTTTTCGGCGAGCACACGAAGCTGTCGTGCGTGGTGAAAAGAGTATGTATGCAACGGCTGGTCGCTTTGCAAGGCGTAATACTAATTTCCGAGTCGGCATAGATGTAGTTTCTCCTCGATGCTTGCCTGGAGCGCGAAAAGCGATGCGCCCGTTGCTGCCCTTGCTGTGCTACGTGTCTGCGAGCCTTGTAGCTCATGCCCCGCATGGCAAGGCAGACGAGTTGAGCCAAATGGCCCGGTGAGCAACATGTGCTGCATTCTGTCGTCACGCATGTTGTGCGCGAGCGTCGCCCGACTGGTGACGATCATCCATCGTCTCAAACGCTGTGCTAATGACATGGTGTGGAGAGAACCGGTGAATCTGAAGTAAACTAAGCCTAGCCTTACATCCTCATCAGTTTACGCCAGAGTTCTTGATGGTCGCTTGCTGTCAGCATAGCTTTGTGGCCAAGCTTTTGCAAAAGAGTTTCAACACTTTAACGAGAATCAGCAAGTAATTCGGAGGTGGCTTCAGTGGAAGCGCTTGATTCCTGAAGGCACCAAGCTAATGTGAAATGTCTATCAGTGCAGGCGAAAACGTTGTGTAGAGCGCCAGTGATCAGCTTTCTGCCCACTGCATGCTGCACCTTGTTCGCCGTCACCGGATTTGACCAAGTTGCAGCGGTAGACATGACAGCAACAAGGAGCCCAAGCATTCAAACCCTTAAACAGGACTCAGTGCCTGAGCCATTCGTATCAGGACAGCGTGTGGCGAAGTAAAGACAAAGAAGAGGAGGTTAAGGGCACTGACATCTGAGCATCGCCTGAGTATCACGGAGGAACCATTCCGTGCCGGCCACAAGTTAGCTCTCCTTTGCAGCTGCGCAGTGCAAGTTGAACTGAGGTGTGCGAGCCGGCCATGGTGATGGAGAAGAAGGTCCGGTGGGGTAGGCAACAGAGGTGGAGGAGGATCTTAGGCGGTTCGCTGCTAGTGGTGGTGGTACTGCTGCTGAATGCATGGCGATTTGAAAGGGGAAACATCCACTGCTGAGCAGGACTGGGCGACGATCGAGCGGGTATTGGCGGCCAAGGAAGCCGAGCTGCTGCAGCAGGTGCCTGGCTTTGTATGCTTTGACGGTTGAGGCTCTGAAGACCGCAAGTCTGGAAGTGCTGCTTTTGTGCCCAGGAAGGCTCCAGCCTCGATGACAGCCATGTGAGTGGCTACAGGTCGCCCCAGGGCTGCGGAGGTTGCATAAAAAGCCTGTGTCGTCCCGTCTCCTGGCTTCCGTGGCTTCCGTGGTGCTGGTACCGGGAGGTACGTGCCAACGACGAAGCTAGTTGACAAGCAATCCTGGGAGACCTTTGCTGTGCCTCACATCCGGCCAACCTGCGGGCAGTATTCTCAGGGAGTCTCGCACATCTCTAGAAGGCAGGGGTACAGAAGCCATGCCAGCAGTATTCTCGAAGGTCAGAAAATTGGCACCACAAGGATGTGCTCTTCGAGATTGGCGAGGGCATCGCCTACATCACACTGAACAGGCAGGCGTTTGTCGAAAAACCATGACGGGAGCGGCGTGGCTGCCAGCCCCATCTGCCGGGCACTCGCATTGCATTGTGTGGGCAAGTTTATCGCCCCAGGCCTGAGGCGAACAACGCGCTAAACGAGACCACATCGCAAGCTCTTCAAGATGCGACGTGCGAGCTTCACATGCGCCTCGCGACCCAGAAGTGCACAAGCATCTGAGCATTTGAGCATTTGAGCAACATGCTCTGCTGGCGATGCAGGCCGGGACGTCCGCATCGTGGTGTTGCGAGCCGAGGGCAGCATGTTTTGCGTGGGATGCTGAGCGGTTTGGAACGGGAGCGGTGCTCTGAGAACTCCGAACTCGGCTGCTTGGTGCTGAGGCTGGTGGTGACCCGAAGCACTTCTTCGATGCTTTGGCCATGTCGGAAAGAGATGACCGGAAGGCTTCCGCGGCGGGAGGCTCCAGGCGGCCGAGGCGTGCTTCCGTCGGCCTTGCAGGCAGCCATCGGCTTCATGAAGTTCCTCTTCTGGTTCCAGAGCCTCCCGCAGTTCACCGTCGGCCTTGCGCAGGCCAGGGAGCCAGGGCTGCAGTCACGGCGCCTTTTGCTCTCCCCATCTGCGACGCCGCGACGAGGGGTCTGCCATGGGCAGCGGCATCGGCCTGCTGTGTGCATGTTTGGGACTTGGGCCCAAGAAGATCTGGTTTTTGCGAGTCGGCACATGTCGGAAAGACGCGTCTTTGGGTCGTTGAAGGTGACATGGTTCTGGCGACGAGCGCGGCTCGTTTCACGTGCTCAGAGGCCCTTCGCAGCATCGCGTTGCATCGGTTCTTATGCGCCGAAACGCGGATCTCTTGCTTCCTTTCTTGTGTTTTATCCGATTGTTGGTGCATTGCTTTAGGTGAAGTTGGGCTTCTGTCCGGCCGCCCTGGCACCGTTCATCACCAGGAAGGTTGCTCGCCTCGGCGTGGAGGGACGGGACGTGAGACTGGGGACCTTGGCATCGGAATCCGATGGCTTCGGTTTGGGGATCCTCTGCTTGAGGTCGGGCCGGCTTTCGCCAAGCGTTTGCTCTGCATGGCTGGCTGGCCGAATTTGCTTTGAGCTGCTTGAGGAGCACAGCAGGAATCATGATATCGAGCAGCTTTGAGCATGTTGTCTACCAGTTCCCAGCAAAGGCCGAAAACATTTCTGCCGAGCAGGCAAAACGGTGCAGAGCTCACGCCTGCTTGCATACCGCAAAGACAACAGCCCTGCGTTTGTGCGTCTCCTTCACCTCAGGATGGGCCTCATCTCCGATGCTCGATCCTGAAGACCTTACCTGCTGTGCAGTTTGGTGTGCTCTAGCAGTGCGCGAGGTGGTGGAAGAAGAAAGCGAATTCTCCGACTACATGAAAGATATCTGCGAGAAGGTGACGTGGGGGACCGAGAAAGGAGCAGGGCAGCTCCTCGCGATGCACAGCATGTAGACCGCATATGCCCGCACTCCCAGTGGATCCCGACCTGAGGCTCTGCGCACCTACGGCCGCTGGCCGCGCCAAGCGCTTGGCGCAGAATGTCAGCCTGCAGCCGCTGACCAGGAAGTTGCCATGGCCCGAGCGACGACGAGCTCTCTCTCACTCTCTCTCTCCGTCCCTTCCTCCACGTTCTGCTCAGGTTGGAATACACAGGGGGCGAGCTAGCAGACATCCGCATAGGACTCCTCACCATTCTGCATTGCTGGCTTTTGCCAAAAGAGCTGTCGAGGAGAGGAGGCCATCAAAGGCATGGTTGCCGTTCAGGCCTTGCACTTGCTCCCGAGTTTGCGGCATCTCCTCGTAATTTCGTGGCCTTGTGAGGCGCGCGTGAAGCCCTACTGGGCCGAGACCCCCATCAAGCCCTTGTACTGATGGCATGCTCAGTCCTACTGAATGGGTCATGTTTCAAGTTCGTGGCTACCAGGCTACTCGTACTAGATACCAGGGGCTGCAGCTTGCCTTTGCATGCCGTCAGATCAGAGACAGGCTGAGTGTAGGTGATCTTCCATGACCGCTTGATAGCAGCTGTGTCGGCAATCCGTGCTTATCGTTTTCACTCGAGAGTTTCGCCTTACTAGCACAAAGTTCTTCCCTTCGCATTCTTTGTGGGAGTTATACGAGGTGTTTGCATGGATGAGTTGTTTCCGTCTGCGCCTTGGCCGCGCAAAACAGCATGATCGTAGCATGTCCTTGCGTTTCTCCATGACTGACAGGTGGATAGCAAGATGTCAGTGACACAGCTCCGGTCCAGTCATTTTGTAAACCGGCAACGAGCGTTAACAGATGTCTGTGCGAGCTTCACGGCTTACCAGTCAACGCTGAACATAGGTCAGCTTGAATTTTTCCTTCCGTGGTTAGCAAACTTTCGTCTCCTGTCCCTAAAGTTTTGAAGACGACAACCGAAATGAGCACATGCCAAGACACTTCTGGGACAGCACGTGGGTCCAAGCACGCTCAAAGCCGTTGCGGGGGCGCCATGGCTTCTGGCCACTGGCTCAGCTCAAGCGATCCTGACTGGAAACCTGCTCGTCGTGGTGACTCGATTGCCGCGTAGGTGACGTTGTTGCGAAGCCACCAGAACATGTTCGATGTAAGAATTTCGGATGCAGCCAGCCGGGTTCCCAGCCGAAAGCTGGATCCAGCCGCAGATCTTCGAGCTCGGTTAGCCAGCGAGCGAGGTTCTTCGATCCGAGATACCCAGAGCAAACGGTGTTCAGCACTCGGCGAACGCTCAGACTTGGCGTGTTTTCCGTAAAAGGTGCTACTTTGCTTGGCCCAGGTGTACTCACCACCGGCTTCCGCCGGTCTTTCACGAGACCGCGAAGTACTGGGCCTGCTGTCCAGACAAGAAGGCCGGAGAAGGTCGAGGGGTATAGTATAGTCCAATATAGTGTAGTAGAGTATAATATAGTATGTTATAATATAATACCCTTGTCCAGCTTCCAGCAGAGCAGAGCTTGTTGGGCCGACTGCCGCTGTGACCTCTTGCTCGCATGGCAGTGTGACGGCAGCAACCCTGCAGGCCTACGATTGGGAGGAATTCATGAAGATCCCGGGATGCCAAACAGGCCTTGCAATCCTGCGACTGTTCATTGCCATATGGATCCATTATCTGCATGTGGCATGCCCGCGAGGACACTGCACCACCGTCGCCAAGGACAAGAAGTTCTTGGGAGGCCGGGCACTCAAGGAAAGTGCCATGTCTTCGTCACTGGGATACACCGCCTTGACCCGAAGAACTTGAGAACTGGAGGTGCAGATATTCGGGCCGAGCACGCTCCCAAGCGCTTGGATGATGAGGTGCCTGTCGATCCGAGAAAGAAGCTGGACTCCCCGCTGCCCATCGCTGCGTGTGTCTTCCGTCTTGGCTTCGAGCTCGTCGCGAAGTTTCCCTGCCTGGCAGGACCGCTTACGGGAGGGCCTCGTGAGCCTCGGAGTGATGCCCTTAGGCGAACGACGGCATGGTGTGTCGGAGAGCTTCAGCAGTTCGAAGTGCTTCTGAGGTGAGTGCAGACGACTTCGATCGAGCCTGGGGTCGCCTGGGCGCGAAGCTAGGGGACCTGTTGATCTCGAATGTCTGTCAAGCGAGATGTCAGAGGGCCTTTCTGTGTTGGATGCGGGAGGACTTGAGCTTGGTCGCACAGAAGATGAACCAGCTCTTCACGGAGACGTTGCAGACGATGGACTATTGCTGATGTCATGTGAAGGTTTTACATGGCACTTCGAGTGCATCGCATCACACCATCAGGATACGGATGACATGAACCTGCCGGACTGAGCCGTAGCGCAACTGTGGCTGAAGCCGAGGGCCACTGCCACCAGTGCACCAAAGACCCGCGCTGAAAGCTGGAAAAGCCTACAGAAGGTTCCCTGCGGTGTCAGTTCAGCACATACTCACTAGGTATTCAGTTCTTGTCAGCACTGCGTACCTATCATGCTAAAGTCCAGGCAATTAGGGCCTGCTCAGCCGTTGCCTTCTGTGCACGTAACATGATGTCATGGGCTGGCAGCTGGTCTGGGACTCGAGTGACCTGCTGGCATGCGTGGAGTTTTTCTTTTGCTGCTCGCGTTGGCCTGGGCTTGACAGCAGCGAATGTCGCTCTTAGGATGCATGCTCGTGCATCTAGTGCTGGCAAATGCGAGCGTAACCAAAAACAGCATGAAAGAACCCGCGTGGTAAGGGGACGTGTTCCACCGCCCTTCCCTGAAGCGTTGTTTGCGCGATGCCTGTCCAATTTGGCGCTCTTGCAGGCCGCTACAGATCTCGACGCTCGCGCCAGTAGCCATGTCCGAGGGTGTTGGGCTCATGGCCCGTACTCGCCAGTTCTCTAGCACCATGGCACCGAGGAGGCATTGTGATGACGCAAGGGTTGGTCACGAACGTCGCCCTCATGCTATGTATCGCTTCTGGCAGATCGAAGGGGGGTTTCGGATTCTTCATGGAGAATTACATCGTTTCGCCTCTTGAGGGTGTGTGCACTTTGTTTGGTTTCTCAGTCGACCCGTGTCTGCAACACTGGCGGCGACGAGCCACCAAACTTCGGCGCGCTCCTGCCCGATTCCGCGCGTTCGCAGATCTTGCCTTACAGGGAGGGATCGTTCGAGTTGCCGGCTTGATGTCGAACGGGCACGCAGCATGTCAGGCGTCCTGGTACAATACACTGCCCGTCATCCGGGCACCCGCGCCGGAGGCGACAGCACGCTTTGTTGCCTGCCTCGATGATCCGCAAGCGGGGCAGGTCGCCTGTGTCGCGGCAAGCGATGGTGCCGCCCCAACAAAAAAACCCTCGTCGCCGATGTGAATGTTTACGTGCGGATGAGCGACGGCCTGCACAGGCGTGGTTTAGTCATCGGTGTGATCCGGTTAGGTCGCCCCGTAAACTTCGTTCGTGTGGCAACATGGCCCAGCTTTCAGCCAAGCATAGCCAAGCCGAAGGTCGCGAGCAAGGGGACCCACCTCAGCCCTGCTCTGTTTCGGCCCGCACTCCGGGTGCTCCAGCAACAGATATCCGCGACGATCTCATTCATGTGAGCGCATCGCTGCATACTTCGTCACCATCCCCGCATCGCTTTAGCGAGCGCTGCACCTGGTCCGGCGTTTTGAGCCCCACCTTGCGCGCCACACATGGCTGCGTCTCAATCGGGCCCCTGGAATGAGGCCGGCGTCGTCCCTGACGGCATGCAACAAATCCAGTCTGACGGTCGCATGTGGCTCTGTGACCAAGCGCTTGAACCCAGATCCCGAGTTGCTTGGCCCCGCGAGCCCAGTTTGCGTTGCGAACGCTTGTGCCCAGGCTCACGGGTGAGTTTGCCGTAGCACATGATGCTGCTGTGTTCGACATTAAGTGCATTGCTTTGTGCTGAAGGGCGTTCCTCGCTCCCAACTGGTGTCATGGAAGCATGCGAGAAAAAGGTGCTCGGGACACATGTTTCTCGCACCGGCCCCGGCATATCCCGAGCGCTCCCTGAGTGGACCGCTTGCTGCACGACGGAAACCACGTTAGCAACGGGACCAAAGCTTGATTGCCGTCCGCGTCCGACTCGCCGGGCCTGCAGCACGCGGCAACGAGACTTCAGCCCTATGTCTCGGGCAATGCCGGTGTCGCGTTGCGAGTGATGATGGCTGCATTCATGATCATTCATGGGGCCATCTGCCATTGGCATTCCTCCGTGATGCACGGCGGTTCACCGACGAAAGCGCTTAAAAGAGTCATTTTGAGCGCATGGGCGATAAGCAACACCTTTCCCCGCTGTATATACTACATAGCCTCAACGCGGGGAGGTGTACACGTTGCGGATGGCACAACCCTCGTGTCGCCCTTGACGGCAAACGGCGAGCGCCGGCGTGAGGGCGGGCCAAAAAAAAGGAGCGTCCCTACCCCGATCTCTCCAACCCTGGACGCCCTGTCGTGCTGGGCATAGAAATCGGCGGCAGGTGGTGCGCGTGAGCTGTTACTCCGTTGCCAAGCCCGGTCTGCCCCCCCGCCACTGCAAATTGCCTGCGTCTCTGCCTATGTACTTCGCCTGCTCGCATTTGCCACTGCCCGTGCCTTCCCAAGCAGTTTTTTCTCCCTCCCGCTTTCCGGTGCAGCCAATGTCGACGGACATACTCCTTGTCTTAGCAAACTTCTCGCCATCGGCACCCCTTCCTCTCGCCAGCCGCATGTCCTGACTTGCCTCTCTGCACTTCCGTAGCCTGGCCCTGGACTTGGGTGACAAGCAAAGGGACCGCGTGAACAGCAGAAGGGTGTCTTAACACATTAGGCAGCTCCTGGTTGAAGTTGCTTCCCTCCTCGCACACACGCGAGTGCCACAGTCGGATTAGTCGACGTGATGCCCCTTTTGCCCGCAACATCATTGGCTCTCTCGCTTGTGACCGCCCTTTGCCTCTAGCCCTCTTGCGCATTGCCCGGAGGGCTTTGGTTGCCATCGGTTACGACCCCTTTCTTTGGGAAGATTTGCTGTACACGTTGCGGCGCCGTCCGAGCCCGAGGAGACCCTTCCTTGGACTCTTGCGATCCACTGACGAGGAGACCGCACCGGCGGGCACTGGCAATGGCACTAGCCCTCCTCGCGGCCTGCCCGCGCTCAGGCCCCGAATTTGTTGGTGCGGGATCTGAATGTCGGTCAACCCTGCGGTGCCAACGGCTTGCCGCTTGGGGGGGAGCTCTGGTTGGCTGTCGACACTCTGCTGGTGTCTGCAGGCGTCACGCCAGGCAAGGCGTCGCGTTACTAGCGCCGCGCTGCTCGCTGCAAGACGAGCCAAGGAGTGCACTTATCCGCCACGTTCGTCCGACACTTGCACGATGTGCGCAAAGCACGCTGCGCTCCGCCACTTTCCAGAGCTGTCGCCATCTCCGCGTTCACCCTCC